AGGGGGGTGGCGGCTAGGGTTTGGCTCTGATACCATAAATAATTGAAACCCTTATGTTATTACTCCATAAGATGGGCTTATATAGGCCCTTACAACACAACTTACAAATAACACCCTATCTATTACTAATATGTCAACACAAGTGCTAGAGACATCTAAAGTGAGGTAAGCATTGGAAGGGGAAACAAAAAGAAAGGAAAGGAAGAAGACAGAGATAGAACGAAAACCTCGAAAGTGAACGCACTTTGAAACCAAACGAGCAAGTGGAGAAAACCTTAGAACCAAAAAGTCCCTACTTCAGATGATTCAGTTCAAAATCAAGAACTTTGTCAGTAACAATGTTCTTACAGGCATCTATAGCACCTATTTCTAAATGATTCAGCAAAATGTTCATGGAAGGAGTTGGTTAGGCCTTCTCTTTTGTTTTATGTATGTACTAGATATTAACACAAGAAACTAAATACATCTCATAACCAGTGTTTTAAATGTCGGCCGACATGTCGGACATGTCGGCCGACATAGCGGATTGAAGGGCCAAGCGACACGAATCGGCCTATTTTGAGTCGTATATCGGAATTCAGGAGAAAATCGGAGATGTCGGGGAAATATCGGTCATGTCGGCCGCTTTTTAACCTTAGAAAAATCGGCTGATTTCTCCAGATATTGGTTTACAGCTTTTTTGACTTATTGGGTTTGGGTTTTGTGATGAAAACCCAAACCCATTTGACTATGCGTTGAATTTGAGGGACTTTTTACGAACCCGAACCCAGAAAACAAGTTGATAGAAAGAAAAAAAACGAAGCTAGGGCTAGACTGGGAAGAGAACATCCGTCTTCATCTTCTTCGTTTCTCACTCGACTCGACCTCCTTCGACCGCCTTCGATGGCCTTCAGCTTCGACCGCCTTCGACGCCTTCAACCGCCTTCAGCTTCGACCGCCTTCAGCTTCGACGCCTTCGAGTCTTCGACAGCCTTCAACTTCGACCGCCTTCAGCCGCCTTCGACTGCCTTCGACCGCCTTCGACGCCTTCGACCGTCTTCGACGCCTCTTGCTTCCTGAGGCTTCAGCCGTCAGGTCTCTCTCTCTCTCTCTCTCTCTCTCTTCTCGATACTTTTAACTTTTTTTCCCCTGCAGTTTAAATTCGTGCCGAATAAAATTAGGTAAGCTTTTTAGTTTTCCCCTTAAATCTTTTTAATTTTCCCCTTCTTTTCAGTTTTCCCCTTGAATCTTTTTAATTTTCACCTTCTTTTCAGTTTTCCCGTTGAATCTTTTTAATTTTCCCCTTCTTTTTAGTTTTGCCCTGTCAAATAAAATTAGTTTCAAGTTAGTAATTGAATTATAAAATTGAAATGCAACATATTTAAATGCTAATGCATAGGAGAGAGTGAGATACTTAACAGTTGACACTCCTTAATGTCTGTTCCCTCCCTCTCTTGAATTCGTACCAAGTTGCTGCTGAAATTAAATTGAAATTAGAAACTCCCAATCAATTGAGAAGTGAAATTATCACCCCTTGTACGCTTTCTAAGCAGTTGATTACTTTTAGGACATGATATTATACATATGCGCACCACCCGATATGGCAATCTGATATTTAGTCCATGTCCCCCGATATATCCCCGATTTCCGCTATCCGATATGGATTTCAGCCGTCCGACATGAACCCGACATCCGATATTTAAAACCTTGCTCATAACTAAGCTGATCATAACTCCATTTAACAAAATCTTGATAATTGGACTTCACAAATTTCCTTGACTTTCCTCAAGAAATTCCAGTGACTTCTCCTTATTTATCTATAAGGTACCTTTTATCTTGCAAGTGAAGGTTGTTGGTGCTTGTTGGTATCTCCTAGCGATAGAGCGACAGGATTCATGCTGGAGAGAGGCCTGCCTTCTTGAATCACCACAATGCAAATACCAATTCTTCGACTGTAGAAACACAGACAGCTCCAGAAATCTATGGTTCCAGTCCAGTAATCTAACAGATCTATGCAACCCTAGCAAAGGATTCTACAAATTTGGAATGTATGCCGATGCAGTGGATGAAAAAGTCACCTCTGCACCTTTCCTACAGAAGTACTTCTACTGCTTATGGTGGGGACTGAAGAACCTGAGGTAATTAGTCACCATCAGTTATGTCTCTGGTAACTTGCAAGATTAATGAACACTTGACCCCATGTTAAGCAAATCTTGCAGTTCCTTGGGTCAGGATTTCTCAACCAGCACTTATGTCGGAGAGAACTTATTTGCTATTGTCATCGCCATCCTAGGCTTGGTGCTATTTGGATTGCTCATTGGAAACATGCAGGTCAGTCATCTGTCTAAAGAAGACTCTATAACACTTTCAGAACTCTAAGAGTGAAACTGATAATAGTAATGTCTATATGTTGGCAGTCATATCTACAATCAACCACAGTTCGATTGGAGGAATGGAGGAGCAAGAAGACAGACACAGAGAGGTGGATGCGACATCGTCAGCTCCCATTAGAGCTGAGGCAATGCGTTAGGAGGTATCATCAGTACAAGTGGATGGCAACGCAAGGGGTGAATGAGGAGGCCTTGCTCAGGGGCCTCCCTCTGGACCTGCGTAGAGATATCAAGCGCCATCTCTGCCTTGACCTCGTCCGACGAGTAAGTCGAACTCAACCGGATATTCTACATCCTAAGACACCTAGCATGACATCTAACAATGGTATACACTGGTTTTGATTCGCAGGTACCACTGTTCGACCAAATGGATGAACGGATGCTCGATGCCATTTGTGAGCGTCTTCAGCCAGCACTCTACACCCCTGATACATGTGTGGTACGAGAGTTTGACCCAGTGAATGAGATGTTGTTCATCATCAGGGGTCACCTTGACTCCACAACTACTAATGGTGGCCGTACAGGATTCTTCAACTCATGCAGAATTGGCCCAGGGGACTTCTGTGGTGAAGAGCTGTTAACGTGGGCACTAGACCCCCGTGCAAGTACTGCAGCCGCTCTACCCTCCTCTACTCGCACTGTCAGTGCTGTGTCAGAGGTTGAGACCTTTGCTCTTGTCGCTGATGATTTAAGGTTTGTTGCTGCACAGTTTCGGCGACTCCACAGCAAGCGGATTCGTCATAAGTTTAGGTTTTACTCACAGCACTGGCGAACATGGGCTGCTTGTTTCATTCAAGCTGCATGGAGGCGACACAGGCAGAAGATGGCAGCTGGGCTCAGCCTCACAGAGTCAGTAACAGAGCCTGAACCAGCTTCAGCAGCAGTGTTCGTGGGCCGGCTAGTCGCAAGTGTGAGGAAGGGTGCAACTGAAGGATTGGGTTTTGGAAGGTGGAGGTGGTAAGTTGCTGAAGAAGCCAGCCGAGCCAGATTTTTCTGGAGATGAAGAAGAGAGCTAACTAGCTTTGCCTTGTGTTACTGAATGTGTACTTCCAATGTGTGTGCGCGCGTATAGTATTTGTCATTGTCAAATACAAGTAATATAATAGAGTGCACTGCATTATCACAGATAGAAGGTATTCTTAGATCGGAAAATTTTTAAACTTTTAATCAACTTAAGTCCCTGACATTTACTCCTCCATTCTCCCGAAGCAAGGTACGCAATGCAAAATTAGAGGGACAACAAGAATAAGATGAAAACAGGATAAAAGTGTCAAAGAAATGTGAAATGAACTTACTAAATATTGAGGCACCAAATGCTCAAAACTAGGGACCTCTTTGGGTAAACTACTCAAGTACAAACCTGCAATACAGAATGAGAGAACATAATTCACTAAACCTCCACACCAACATATTTCCTACTATCATAGTTTCTTATCTCCCTCCAACATAATATAGAATAAGAACACCGCTACCAAAAGGCTGAACCTTAGAGATGGAATTTAAATAGATAGGCTACAAGTCAACTCCTTGACAGTCGGAATCAAGCCCAGACAAACTCTGAAGGGCTCAAACAGATCATGACCTGTTCAAATGTTAGTCTTACT